AAATATCAAATATATTTAAAACTTTTGACTAATAATTATTATAGACATTTACCTATCTCCAGGCGGTCATTAATTTTCACACGGGAATTAGAAACAATCAACCGTTGTTGGTAAGTGCTGCTCGATGCATATTTGCTCTGATATAGTCTAGTCGTAGGCACTCTATATATCGTTTAATCGAAATAACATATGAAGAACAATTGATGCGATTAAATCCTGAGATTAAACAGCGTATAGAATTATATTCGGTTATTTCATGATCAGGATATAGCAATCAATATCAAGGCCTTGACGCTATTCTTGAGGAGGTTAATAAATATTTAAAGGCCTTAATTCCCCCTGTACCTTCGCAAAAACATTAGAGAATAGCCGCGCGTAATTGTATGAAGTTTATAAAGGTTAATAAAGTTACATTTGCATTAAATAAAGAAAAATTATATCTGTACTTACTTTTTGATAATAATTAGCTACGTCACAAAATATTTAATATTATCGGGTATGCGAATAACAAATTATCAGAAGGCCGGATACGTCCAGATTATATATTAGAATCACGGAGATTTCGGGTCTATTTGTGTAAAACTGGGTTTTTAAATTCTCAAGATGATAATTACACTTTTAAGAGCCTTGGAAGGGAACGTCTACTTAGCAAACACCTGAAAGATTTCAGTAATTTAGCATGTGAAAGACGAATAATGTTGATTAATAAGACTTTTAGAAGCAGCAAGTCAAATTTCTCACCTCAATCAATACCTATTACTGCTCAGGAAGAAGCAGCAGCCATAGATGAAAAAAATATGACGAAAAAAGAGCTTTTAGCAATTATTAATTCATTGCTAAATTCTGTTAATATTTCAGATCGTCCAAACTATCGTGGGTTACGGCAAAAAACTAATAGCGAGTTGATAAAAATTTTACAAAGTATTAGAGATCTGTATAATGATCAAAATGAACTTGAAAACGAGATAGAATTAGAAAATTAAAATAAATAAATAATCAACTACTAGTCTCAA